ACACTAGAGTAATGTCTATGTGTTTTTGTGCATGTTGATGCAGGGTGGAGCGTTTGGCAGAAGGAGGAGGTGAGGCCTCCTCTTTCGTACAGTGGCAGAAGAATATGCGAGAGAGGGACCTTCAGGAGGAGCTGGCCAAGCTTGAGCAAAGGCGTCTGGAGGGACTCATCAGTCACAAGGAGGCAGCCATTGCCCGAATAAACATCATGGAAAGCAACCAGAAGGCCGCTCAGCTCAAGAAAGAAGAGGTTGGAAAAGACCACTCAACAATCATTAATAAAATGCATTTACAGAAGATTACACGGTGCATTAGTTACATAAAAGCATGTCTGTTTTCTACAAACATCTTTAAACAAGTAATTTTACAGGGGATTTACAATTATACATGAATTAAATGGTAATTAGGGTTGCTTTGTTGTGTCTCGCAGACAGCTCAGCTGATGAGGGAATATGCTGAGAAGAGGTTGCAGGAAGAGGAAGAACTGAGGGACTTGGTACAACAAGTGGCAGAAGGACACAAGAACTCAAAAATGGCCAAAGAGAAGTTACAGCAATTCAAGCAAAGTATAGGTACGACTCCACTTGTGATTTAATTCAATTTTTTTGTCAAGATTTCCTTTTAATTCTCTTGTACATTTCACAGTGAGAGAAGTCTCAGGGCAAAGTCAAGCACTCCTTCGACAAGCACTGGAGGAAGCACAGGCAGAACTGAGCAGGAAGTTTCAAACCATCCTTGAAATCCATGCCATTGAGTCACTTCCTCACATCCGAATGAAATATTTTGACGACACAAAGGTGAGTGAGGAAGACGTCATTACAAATTTCACGTACTTTCATGTACAGTATCTCTAAGTTAACCTGTTGTCCCTTGTCAGACTGCAGGACATGAACTGATGGGAGAGATGTCCATGATTGAGCTGAAGTTGCGACTGGCCCACCTGAAGGAAGTCCAGCAAACAGAGCAGCGGGAGAAACATGAGCACATCCTGGAGGAGAAGCAGAAAAAGAAGAAGCTGGATTTGGAATCGGAGATCGAGTACCTCCGCGAGAGAGTAATGGCACAGGCTGAAACCACCAGGTCAGGAAAAACATGTTCGGCTCTGACTTAATTATGGCAGCGGGAAAAATATACAAACACAAATATCATACAGACATTAATGTTATGTTCTTTGGCATGTTGCAGGGAAAAGGAGAGGAAGGCCACCCTGGATCTTCAGCAGAAAGTTGCTCAAGAAAAGAGAGTTTTGGCTGAGCGGAAGAAGCTCGAGGAAGAGCAGCGAAGACTAGAGCAAATCAAGAGCAGCAAGGCCAAAACCGCTGAACAAACAACAAGAGTGAGTATGAAATCCAAATCAAAAAAGTTATTGCTCTCACTGACAGTTTTAGCTTTTTCTGGTTTTATTATTTGTGTTTCATCCATAGAAATAATATCCCTCATTCATCTCCACATTTCTCTTCTTCCCAGAAAACCGTGACGGCGGAGGAGAAGTGTGAGTTGATGAAAAAGAATTTAGAGCAGTTGATCCAGAGGGCCTTTTAACTTTCAGACTCGGGCGATCATCAGTACCGGCTGCCAGGAGAGAAATACATTGAATAGCTATTTCGTCTTTTATTACGTTTTTAATGTGACACATTTTTATTGCATTAAAATTTACAATCACAACAATCGATGTCAGATTTGTCTCCATGATGAAGTTTTCTACAGACTTGAATGTAGTCCACCTTTTACTGCAGGTGTAAATTTAGTGTTTCATGTTGTACCAGGGTTTGTTATGTCCTTAAAATATTGAGATTTCAGAATTGTTTCATTTCTGCATTACACACACCCGTCTGTGGCCTTAGGACCTTTACCAGCATAAAAACTACCCTTGTCAGGACCAGTGGATCTGATGGGGACCGAACTCAGGCTCTAATGAAGTAAAACATCATTTCTGGGGTCCTGGATAAGTTTAGGGGAAAGATGTGAAGTGTGGCAAGGTTAAGGTTAGGGTTTGGTATTAATCTGCCATGGTTAGGGTTAGGGATACAGTTTTGGTTAGGCTTTGCACAATGAATGGAAGTCAATGCAAAGTATTAATAAGGATAGCTGCGCAAACCTGTGTGTGTGTGTGTGTGTGTGTGTGTGTG